GTCCGCCGCCGCGGCCGCCGCCGCCGCCACCGCCGCCGCTGCCGCTTGTTGCTCGTCCTACGCCGCCTTGCTCTTATTCGTCTTGAAGCTGACCTGGAGCACGCGGTTGCCCAGGGTGTACCCGTTCAAGCTCTGTATGGCCACCACCGCCTCCTCGTAATTGGTCATCGTCACGAACCCGAAGCCCTTGCACTTGTTTGTCTGAAGGTCGCGTATGACCTTGACCGATTGGACGGCGCCGAAGGGTCCGAACAGCTGCCAGAGCACATTCTCTTCAGTCTCGGGTGCGAGGTTGTACACGAAGATGCACCAGCCGGCGCCGTTCATCGTGTTACCGGGCAGCATCGAGTTCGCGAGAAGGTCACCCGCCAGAGGACTGTACCTGGAACACGATGGCCAGGCCGGTCATTAAACGGACATCGTCGCCCGATGGCGGCTGACAATGACGGCCGCGGAGGCGACGAGTGAGAGAACGAACGATGCTGAAACGTGGTTACTTCCGAATGCATCGAAACGAATCGACAATTTACGTATGTCATTTTAATTACCTTCTCGTAATCAAGAATATGAAAATGCATTTCTTGGCTACGATAATTCCACATGAAACAATCATCGTATAATGTATAATTTGTAGGCTTTTAGGGATAGAATTTTTTTTTCATTCTTTCAAGATTGTGGAGAAATTTGAATAACGATGGGTTCTTTAAATATTTATAATTCTATCATATTAAATATAATTTCTCTATAAAATATGATACTATCGAGTTTTATTTTACATTATCATTCACGTTTCACGAGGGAACGTTTGAGCATCGTTCAGTTTGTAAATACTTGCTGATGTTTCTTTTCTCTGAATATAAAAGGGTATATCTATTAAGATTTTACATTATACGCTACTCGCACAGTATATCGCAATCCCAATGAAATTAAACGTGTAAAAAGATGCGAATATATACATACTGATGTGAACATTTATTTCGCGTGATATGTAATTGATCTTTTTCTTTACACAAATGGCACTTCCGCAGACATCTACATATGACACTGGCACAAAAAAAGTGAAAAAAATATGTATATATGTAGAACTACGCGAGGATTGATTTTGTACTACGTAACTTACGCGATATTATAAAAAATATAATAATAGTGGCATAAGTGATATATAAATAAGAACAGCGTGCAAACTTTGTTTATAATATATACTCTAGAAAGACATGCCGTATAAAATACACAAATATTTATTTCAATCGTGTGACCACTATAAAAATTTTAAATAAATAAATGTGTATATTTATAAATATTATAACAAATTTTCCAAATTTTACAAATACAAATATTCTATTTTAATTGCATATTTCAAGTACATATATATGTATATAAGCTGTGTTAAAGCTGTGTCAAAGCAGTTACGGACGGCAAATTTTATCAACAATATTTATATTATTTATTCTGACATATTCTGTAAGTAATAATTAAAAAATGATATCTCATATGTAAATCTCTGTGTAGTAAACTTTGAAATAAAAAAAAGAAAATAAATAAAACGAGAATATGTATAAAAAGATAATATATAGATAGTATATAAAAAGTAATGCTCGTTCAGAATTAAGTTAATAAAAGATAATAAAAGATAATAAAAGATAGAAAGAGAAAGAAAGAATTTAAGTGGCATTATGGGATGTTATGAAGAAATGTTCACTTGTTCATATTTTATACAGAGAAAATTTACAAGTACGCGCTATCTGGATATTGAATCTTTAATGAAATATAATTTAACCTTTGTTTCGAGTCATGCAATCTCTATAAGGATATAACTTAATATATCCAGAGAAAAAGCCAAATTGAACAAAGGTACATTATTGCATCCACATTCATGCATTCACGTGCATAGGGAATCACATAGATATACAGAACGTGTTTCTTTGAAACGCAAGCCAATCTCCTTGGATGGCGCTTTCTACAGTACATTAACATTAATTCTTAAATGTGCGACAGATTTTTTTTTTTTGCTAGATAGATAAGATTTCAGAGTATAGGAACGGAAGGTACACGTCCCATACGAGGGCACTTATTACAAGTGAGGGGAATATTTACAGTTGTAAAAGTATCTACGTACCTACTTGACGTCACAAGCCGCGTTAAAACAGGGCACATCTCGGTGAGTACTCAGTATAATGCCGAGGCCACAATAATTACGTATGCATTCGTCACGTACGTTGTACGTTACACCGCGTAAAGTAAACGTGTGATAGGTGTCATGTATTTTTTTTTTTTTTTACTTGTGTACGCAGAAACATGTGCATCGGGTGATTATACGACCGTCCAATTTCGTGTGTATATGTATATTGTGTGTATGTATGGAGGGCCGTACAAAAAAAAATGATGGAATCTATAAGGACAAGGAAATGAAAGGAGTAACATCACGTTGCTTGCATGTAAGTTCGTCTCGTGGTTCATTAAACATATGTACATATATGTACACGAGAGTATCTGGATCCAGTTTTTCTCTACTCTATAAAAGTATTCGTATTTAGAATAAGTACCTTCGAAAACAGATTTTTGTATGTAATTTTAGTTTTTAACAGAGAATACGTAATATATGTATATATAAATATCCAGAATTTCCAAATAAAATTTTCTCTGAAATATTGCAATAAAATGTAAAAAAAAAATCTAATTTTTTTCATTATCAGCAAAATGTCAATTCAAAACTATGTAATTATGTTTTTTTTTTAAAGCTGTTTCTAATACGCAAATTGCGTAATAAGAACAAACTCTAAAATATTCTAGAAGCTGCAATCATTGCAAATACTACGGTGGCAAATACTGCAGCGGTTTAATCGTTATTAAATAAATGGCACTATGTAAATAAGTGGAAGAACAGGGAACCAAGGAAGCTTGATTACGAAACCCAAGAAAATGTGACGTCAACATATCTACTATTGTGTTTGCACAAATAAATCAAATAAAAGTCGAAGCAAAGACGTGAAAAATGCAGAAATGGTGAAAAATATAGTAGGATCCCGTTACGAAATTATGCTTACATAAAGAAAATCAATGAAAAATATTTTCCATCTTGAAAAAGATTTTCACGTAAGAACATCCATGGATAAAGATCACTTAAAAATCCAAGTAATAATTATTAAAAGTTAAATAATATAAATAATATTTATTACTTCAAAAAAACTTTTTAATGATAAAGTTTTAATGATGATGACTGTTTTAATGATAAAGTTATTTTGCGATATCTTAATATCGAATTCGTAACGAGTCAAAGAAGGAAAAGTGATAAAGAGAGAGAAAAAGAGAGAATAAAATCACACAACGGAAGAAGTAACGAAAATTAGGAGTGGAAAACGTAGCGGTAGTAACGAAAAAAATACTGACCTCTGTAAGCCTTTGTTAATGGCAAGCATGGCCTTGCCAGTGCTAAAACAAAACACAAAAAGAACAACGTAAGAAGAGAGATACTCCGGGATCGAGCCAAAGTCGGGGGATAAGTCGGGCGCTCCCTGTGTATTTCATTTTCTACCCTCTACGTAGCGGTGCACTGTTACCCCGAACGGGACGCAATGGGGGAATGCAATGTGGGATTCAGAGAAGCGAAATGATATCTATGTCGTTATAACATTAATATTAAATAATAAATATAATACACAATTATTTACAATACAATAACTGTTATGTTCACAATTTAAATAACATTTGTTAATTAGAAAGTAATAATTTATTTAAATAATATGTAGACATATAAATTTAATTTTATAAAGTAAATAATCGACAAAGAATTTGTTTTATGAAAGCAGTTCGGTTCTCTGTTAGGAGAGGAACTTAAGGAATTGTTGTCACAATGACATAAGCGCTATTTAGGTTAGAATATGATCGTGACGTAGTTTTCAAATGATATGATATCAAAATAACATGATAAACTTGAAATCGTTAAAATTCTCAAGCATTAGAAAAATTTTTTTAGTTACACTTGCATATTAAAAAAAAAAACAAAAATTCGAATATAAAAAAAAGGAAAAGCATTTTATAGATAATATATATTAAACAATTGGCAAATTACAGTTTTTTGTATGTATTACAAAAATTATAGAAATAGGCTGATTACTCAAACCATTAATTGATTGTGCGTTTTGTCGTCTCAAATTTTGTTTAACACTGACAGTTCAATTAACTGCTATACAAGCTATTCTTCCTCTCTGTTGAAAGGGAAAATGAAATAATAAGAGAAAGCAACAGCAAAGCGCAGCTGCACTTGATTAGCGCTTTGTACTTATTGAAAACAAACGATTAATGTCCGTGATGAGACTCGTGAAGAATTTCGGTAGCTTTGTATCTTGAATTTAGAGGTACGAACAGACTTTGACACGTGCGATCAATAAAGATGTATTGTATACTGCATATATCGCCTCCGAGTAAAAATTTGTAAAAATAGTACGTAAATACGTAAATAGATATCGCTCTTGATAGCGAGCATCGTGACTTATATGTATGTAATGTATGGGAGACTCGAAACGAAAGAGAGATGATAAATTATGTGTCGATAGTTCTTAATTCTGTAACTGATATTTGTCGTCACCGAAAATAATTATATATATAAAAATTTTGTAATATAATAATTTCACAATACATCTAATAATTTGCCACAATAAAATATTACGATCGTGACGGCAGATACCGATATAGAATGTAAGGCTATTGTGTACGTTTTGCTCCTCCGTGTTTCGAGAATGGCCAAAGATCAGCTTACGTTTTCAAATCAGACTTATACAATATTTCCTCTCTCTGCAATCGCTCGAATAGCATAGATTTATACACGTCTATCTCATCATGAGATCTGATCGCTGGCCTTGAAGAAAATGATAACTAAAAAGGGGAAAAAGTAGCATAAAAAACAAGAGTCCACGTAAACAATGATGAAAGAAACACAACGATGAGTGCAAATAAAGAAGGGCCAGTCGACGTTGTTTTTTTTTAACATTATTATTGCGTGAAATTACGTGGATATTATCGAGTATCGATCTATTATTTGATAAGGAGCCCTCCAATCGACCTTGACAGGTTGTTTCGTCAATATGAAAGTTTAATAGAGACATATCGATTACGAGACAGAAAGACCTTTCTAAACAGAGATAATGCGGATTCTCTGTGAATCGTCTGTGCTCTGAAACACTACCTTTCCACGAACTTTTGTTCGTTCATGTTAACATTGTAATTGATGAAGATGAAAAATAATATATATATTTTTCAGGTGACGAGTAACCATAATGAAATATATTAAAAAATTGGCGAAACTACTCTTTTATTAAACGTCGTCATTGACCGTTTCCTTATTGTGACTAATTGTAAGTGAGAATATGAAAAATATACCGTATCTAAAAATTACGGTGTAAGTAACACAAAGGTCTAAGCCATGATTCCCGAAAATAACAGAGCGTGCACAGTCACAATTTAAAATAAAAGACAGATACGTTAGTGCATACATATTTTAAATTAAAATCCGATTTTAAATTAAAATCGGATGATATAGGAGGAGCTTTGTGCCGAACAACTTGATAAATGTGAAAGTAACGATAATTGTCTGCGATCGACTGATCGATCAATTAACGTACATAATCACAAATATATTTTTAATTTACCATATAAATGATCAAAAATCGATACAATAAAAACATTGTAATCAAACGAAGCAGATCAATGTCTATTATTATCGATTTAGTATATTTTTTACAAAATACTTTTTCATTTTTTTTAGTTTCTGAGATTTTTCAAGCCGCAATAAAATGAAGCATAATAATGCACAGTATCACATATTTTCTATAAAAAATTATTTTCTTTCTTGTATTAAAAATAAAGACCCATACTGTTTTATCAAGACATCACAAAAATAGCAAAGTCTCGTGTTTATATATGAACAATTGATCGATCTAATTGAGTAATTTTGTGTTTACGCGGTGTCTGTGTGTGTCAAAAGAGAGAAAATAGAAGGAAGAAGACGAATAGTATATATGCTAGATAGTTAGAGAGTTCTAGATAGAAAAATAAAAAAAATAAATAAATATTGGACAATTGGATGGATAGATGGACGAATACGGAGAGATTCATGGATAATATAAATAACTCAGGAGAAGAACTCAGTTTATATAGCTAAATAATTATCAGAAAATCAATCAATAAAGAAACATGAAGTGAAAGAAGAAAGAAAAGCGGGAAAATGCTGCGCGGCCGAGCAATTACGGTATTTAATTCGCGTACGTCTGTGCTGGAGCATATCCAGGACATCAACATCGCGCGTTAACGACAACAATTCTGTGACAAATTATTCCGCGCAACATTCTCCAACAGAATTGTCTAACGAAAGCCGTGAGGATAGAATAAAGCGGAAAGAGAGAAAAAGATAGCAGAAGAGACGAAGAATTAGAGAGATAGTGAAAATCCTTGGGTAGAGCGAGTAGAGGCGAGTAGGTACCTGGATAGTGGCGACAGTGGAATGTACCTGAAGCGGCCGGTCGGATGGTGGATCGGCCCGCCGAAACGCCGCGTGGCTTGTGGTGCGAGATAGGCGGCCAATGGCGGTATCGCCTTGTTGTTGTTGCTAGGATTGTTGGCGAACTTGACGGTGATCGGCTCGGACGAGCCCTTCGGTATGGTGCCATTCAGCTCTTGGATCGCTCGTTCAGCCTCGACGCGCTGGTCGAACCTTATGAAGCCGACGCCCTTCGACAGGCCTGTCGAGAGGTGCCAAGGTAATCGGCAGAACACATAAGATCGCATCTGGTTATTGCTGACGACACACGATGTAAGCTGTTCGTCGAAACCGCGCCGGACGCTTCCGACTGATCTCTAGGTTCCTGTATTTTTCTGTTTTTTTCTCCTTATCAAATTTTTCCTTATCAAACTAGCAACGTCGCGAAATCAATGACGGCTCAATTTGGAGAAGACTTTTTATTGTATCGCGACGTTACCTGCGATCATTTCTTACGCATTCTTACCGTAATGTCTTACATTATTCCTCCTTATTACACGCGATATTATTAATATTATTAATATTATTATTAATAAAGCCTTTAGCTAGCTTTCTCAACCAGTTAACAATCCTGATACATCAAGCTATTATTCAAATTGTACTTATTGTTAGATTATAGAATGCATACAAAATAATTCACATTTCACATATGTAATGTGAAATGGATTGGAAAAGTTACTTTATAAGTTATTTATAAATTATTTTTTAGATTACTTTATGTGCTTCTTATAGAAATTGAGCACAAAAGTAATACAAAATTTAAGCAAATGATAAAATATAAAAAATAATATAAAAAATAAAATACCCTAACTTATTATACTCAATTTCTATAATAAAAAGTAATTTATAAGTTATTTGTAAAATAACTTTTCCAATCTTGGTAATGTATGCTTCCCTGCGTTCAGCTATCATTGAGAGCAGCGACAAATTACGAATATAAATCGCTTATCTCTCGTAACGACGGAAAGATACGACTTGAATACATGTCGTATAGATTCAAGAAATGTTAAGCTTATTTTATACGTTAGAAAATCTTTTTCTATATATAGAGACAAAGCGAGTGGTTCGGTGCGCGCAGATTCGTTTCTTTACAAACACAACGACAATGCCTTGTCGGGTGGACGTCTTTTTGTCTTTCTTTCAATTCTCTCTACTTTGTAGATCTATTTATCATTCGCGGTTTAGTGTCGATTGATAACAGGTAGACAGGAACGAAAAAGAGAAAGAGTGAGAAAGTGAGAGATAAAGAAGAGTGATAAAAAAAAAGAAGAAAGAAAGATAGAGAGCGAGTATATTTTCGATCACGGATACATGTCGATATAATCAAGAGATCGTAAGCAAATCATAACCATAACGAATGACAAAAAGCGTAAAGAAACAAAAATGGCGCTCGAGGGAATACTGGATGCGCGCATCATCTGTCATTGCACGAAGACAGAGACGCAATAATTTTTTCTCATCTTTTCTTCTTACATCTGGTCGTCCCAAAATTTCGTATCAATTAATTGAATTTTTCCGAGTCGCAGTCGATGGTGTGAAAAAAAAAATGGAATGTTTCGCGAAATATTAAACCGCAATTATTTTATTATTTAATATTTTACCGATTTCCGATCTAACGCACCAATTTTATAAAGCCAGTCTAATAATGCGTCATACAATATAAAATCTCTGAATCCTTTGCTGAAATACATCGTCGCTCGTCGGAATTACAAATGAATTTTGACAAAACGTTAACAGGCAGAACATGAACGGATTTTATTGAAGGCAATGTTTACTTGACGCGATTACAAATCGATTTTCGATTCCGAGCGACGCTCGATTACACCGCGAGGAAAACCGGTGTTCGTACTACCGCTGCGTTGTGTTTTATTTAACAACGACGGCGACGACATTGACGAGGTATACATGACTACATGTGAAAAAAAAACGAGGTCGCGCAAACGAGAGACGCGCGCGCATCACAGATCGAAAGAAACGGCTGCTTTTCGTTTCAGCTAGAGAGACGTAATGAGGGAAAAGAAAAGAGATTTGTGATTTACGTACCGGGCAAATTGTCTCCGCCGCCGGTCACAAACTGTCGTACTAAACAGAAACGGAAAAAATCATATCTCGTTAAAATCCAACTGGCAGCACACGCGATTCGCTCGCCCCTACGATACGTTGGTTCGGGAAATAAAAAAACGTGTTTGCACGATAAGACGGAGTAAAGGGGTTAACGAAAGAAACAACACAGTGGAAGCAAAGTAAAAACAATGAGTCTCGTCAGCATTCAAATTAAAAGAAAAAAAGAAAAATCATTGTGACTTTGACGTAACAAATTGAAAAATTTAATATTATTTATACTCAGAATTTCTCAAAATTGTAAGACAAATCGAAATTAATTCTTTAATTTTCAGCCATTTGGAAGCAAGAACAAATTGATCTTACATTTAATAATTTAATAGAATATCGCAATCATTTCTCTGCACATATGCGAATATAAAAGTACACAAACTGTGAAACCAAAGAGGTCTAAAAAATTATAAGAAACTAAATAAGATCGTTAATAAAATAAATAAATTCCTTGTATTTTAATTTATTGTTATTTAATATTTTAATAATCGTTACTTGGGAATTCGTTGCTTTCGCATTTAACGTTTCGTATAATAAGAAAAGAAACGATATCATTTTAAACAAAAAAAATGAAATAGGACGAGTACGTATACAAGGGGCGAGCGGACTTCGTGTAAATTATATTATTTCAGATCTCCTTAATCATATAAAAAGCGTGAGCGCCAAAAGGGGAAAAATTCGGTATATCGCGCGTGTTCACTTTTGTGGAAGATAGGAGAAAGCGATGTAGGACGAACGTAAGTCTCGGGGAGGAGGAGGGGGGGGGGGAATGAAGCAAGCCTGGTGGTCCGGATAATGGAATAATGATGGTGATAACGCGTGGATGTAGCAACGAATGCGCCGGAATGAAGGATGGAAGTGAAAAGTGAGCACGGTAAGGAGGCACGAAATTAAGATCGAGGTGGAGGCCATGAGACTTTTGTGCGTGCAACTGGGTTGGCCAGGGAGGAGCATTTGCAATAAATAAATCAAATACGCAAACGAAATCTAACTCGGGGAAGGTTCGTAGACGACTAAAAGCGAGAGACACTTGCGCGACACTTCGAGTTGTCATCGTATCAGTCGTAGGTATATGTAGCTCCCCTCGAGAACAAAGTTGCGTGTATATACGAAGCTGTATATATAAAGCTCGTGAAATCGTTGCTCTTTGTGCTCTTCGAATGAGGAAACGTGTGGAAGAGTGTGTACAGGCGAAAGAAAACATAACGAAGTGAAACTGATACGATCTCGTTCGCTCAACAGAACATTTATCGTTATCGCTTCAACGAGCTACTCTCTTATTCGCACTTTTGTTATCGTTATCGTTTATGGCGCACCGACCCACCCTACAAACGGACTCTAACCCCATGGCCTACGCACCTGTGATCTGGATAAGCTTTATTTAAAATCACCGGAGATTTCCGATTTTGTCGCTGTCTTAAATATAGTTTTCTCGCACATTGATTTCATCATATTCGTATCAGCGCGAATAGAATAACAAGATAAATCGGATATAAGTCGACTGGAAGAAATATTTCCGCACGAGGAAATATTTCAAACGAATATCCGTAACGACTCATCGAACTTTCGTTTGTAGATAATACATTTCGCGTTGTCGAAGAAATTGACAGGTTGAAATTTTATTCGATCGGAAAAATTTTTATTATCGTGACAGATAAATCATCGCGGAAAGCTCGCGAAAACTATTGAACAGGCGGATTTGCGTAGACTTACCGGTGATGTTGTCGCACAGTATCCGCGACGTGATAATTCTGCCGTAGGGACTGAAGAGATTCTCCAGATCCTGTTGCGCCATATTTTTCGGCAAACCGCTGACGTATAGATTCGCGCCCTTGATCGCCTCGCTGCTCGGTCTCGCGTACGACACCTAGAAAAAAAAAAAAAAGAAATCGCATTCCAAAAAATACTCTCTTTTCAATCCCGACAAATATTCGTCGGATACGAACAAAACGACGAAATCAACGAGATGCTCAATATTTCATCGGATGAGAAAAAAAGGAGAAAAACATGACCACACGATAATTATTACTTTATTCCTATTCGCGTGCGATAAAATCCACCCGAATTCAGGCCAATCTATTTATATTGCTGCATTACCGCCTTACAACGCTCGCGTAGATGTATTTAACAATTTAGAAATCAGATAGAAATGCTTCGTAAAGTATTCGATTATATATATTTATAGATCACAAAAGAATAACGATGATCTAATTTCTCAAGAAAAATCATTGGTTTAATTGTGAAAAGTAGAATTTACAGTAAATAACCGCGTGATTAATTATTACGGGAATTATGAAAGAGAACAAATGAACAATGATGCGTTCAAGATTTGTATTACAGGCCGCTTACCTTGATGGTTTTGTTCTGCAAACGAAGACCATTGAGCGTGTTTATAGCCTTTTCGGCATCTTCAGGCCGGTGATAGTTGACGAAACCGTAACCCAAACTCTGACCTACAAGCAGAGACGCAACCCAATAAATATTACGAATGTCGATGTTAGATTTATTTTCGAAAAATACGTTAATCACGAGCTGCATCATACATAGTTTGCGATGTCCGATATGTTTAATTACTGACATTTTAATGGCTTTTGCTTTTAATGTAAAAAATAAATGTTTCTTCAACATTACCGATAAGTTTTGTTTATATCTGAATGGTTATCTGTCGACTAAAATAATCGCATCGAAATGGTGATCGAATGTGCAATGCCAATATGAATTTCCCCAATACGTCCCGGAATCAATTTTATGAATGGCGTAGTGGCAAATATATCACCGAGTAGTTGGCGAAATGCCTGAAGCAAGTAGCGGAACAGCAAGGACATACGAGTGAATTATTTTTCGGTTTTACCAAAGAATCAATATAAGAAAATAATAATTCGATGAAAAAAATATATCAAGCATTATTTTATAGTATCAATTTTTATTAATTTAGGACGTCGGTCATACATGAAAAGGATTTTTTTCCGTTACATTTAATAAATTTAAAATGCATCCTGCGTGATTTGTAATGTAATTTAACCGAAGAAAAGTCGAGAAAAAGGAATAATTACGGTTATTCGATGAAACAGAAAAGAATTGTTCCGAATTGTGTGACGGTGTGTTTATCGCGCGTGGTAGCGAACGACGTGATACGGTACTGCCATTCTGCGGCAGTGAGGTCGAGCATAAAGCGGCAAATCTTCAAACCAAACGCCGCCCCCGCTCTCGCTCTTCGCGGCGGCTTGAAATAGCGCCGCGACGTCTATACACGTGCTCGTCTCGCCGCCACTACACGGAATATATCCAGCGCACACGTACCCGAATTATGTTAGAATATATGTATTCGATTTACTATGGCGATACGGACGATCATTGAGTGAGTTTATAGTCTTTATGGCGATATGGACGAGTTACGCAAAATGCCGTGTCAGTCGGAGACTTATGGATCGCGTTATATAAGAGAAATATCGATATTCAGCAAAATAAATGTTTGTTCGAGCTATTTATGAGCCAAATTGGTCAATTCCGTGAAATAAAAACGCATACTTTCACCGACGTAACAGCAGTTGGTATATAATAAAAAAATAGAGGAAATTAATGAAATTAGACATTAATCATATGCGTGTTCTGGTGGAAAATTAAAAAATTTACAAAAAGTGGAGTTGCTCAATTTGGGTTTTCTGAAAGGCTCGTGTTTGTGAAAAAAATAATATTCTACAAATTATTTTTGAAAAATTTTGAAAAGGATAATTTTCCCTTTTTCAAAACCATTTTGAAATTATTTTTTAATCATTGATTAAAAAATTGAATCCTTGTCGAATTAAATTATCTGAAGAGAGAGAAAAAGCGTATAAAATTGTAATAATAAAATCGATTATTTTTTAGATGGCGCGAATTCAATTTCCAAATTTTGTTATCAGAGATTTTATGTTTTAAAAACTAATATCGTTAAAATAATGCCTTCTAATGTATCATTAACATATTCAACTCGTTTAATGTTTGATGATTTGGATTTAAGTGTCTTAATACGAAAAGAAAGAATACATGCAGTAGAAATGCTGATCTTACCGCTGAGCTTATCACGGATTAGCTTGCAGCTTTCGACCTCGCCTATACTGGAGAACAGAGAACGAATCTCATCCTGTGTCATGCTCTGCGGTAAGTAATTTACTATGAGATTCGTCTTCGACTCTTCCTGCGAGGTCTGTCCGAGGGTTGAGCCTCCGTTTTGTTGTACGACTGTGTCCATTCCGTTCGCCATCATTGCAATCCTCTAACGAGTCGTCCCTAACTATGTACGAAATCTGCAAACAGAATACATAACATGTCAAATTATATCGATCCAGACACTATCGATAAATAATTGTAATTATACAGTAGCAATTAATGGCTTGTTTGTATTAAAAGTTTTATTTTGGTAAAATTAAACAGGATTTTTATGATATCGCGCTAATAAGTTTGCATATTTTCTCAAGACGTTACAATATATTTTAGGAAGCTTCACTTCGAAAACATATCAAATACAAACTATGTCGCAAGGTAATGGAAAAAAACGGCATCGATGTAAACACTAAATATTGAAGGACATAAAAACCTGTGACAACCAAAACAATAATGCACAAGACATTCCTTGACGCTTGAAAACTTAAGTCCAAATTAAACTACGAGTTTTTGTTCAACCTATATCATGAATTCAGCGAAAGAACGAATATACGTAGATACAAGAAGCGGCTTTATTGTAAAATAAAATCAA